CCCTTAAACTAGGTGTAAAATACTTAAACAACTCTCACAAGTCTTATTTAGATTAATAGGTTTGGACCCATAGCCTTTAGTTTGAAAATAACCACCCAATAACTTTAAATCTTACTCTAAATTTGTATGAAGAGAAAAGGGACGAGTAGGGAAGACATATTTAAGTGAAAACAAGCTCAAATCACCTTTAAGATTCTCCCAAATTAAGGCTCTAGTAGAGGATTGTCTCCCCCTATTACCCTCTTTATTTCTCTTTTTCTGTCATCTTATTTTATAGCTTGAATACAAGCTGTAAATTTAAAAATTTAGCCATCACCACAACGTAAGTCTCATTCATCATCAAGGATGGCACAGACAACCAAGCCTAAAATTATGCTTTCTCTTTTGGGCACAGTCAACCTAATACACCTCCAGACTTAATCTAAGGGCTGAAACCAAACTCAATAAGCCCACTAAATATCATTAACCATCCTCAAAATAATAAACACCTAAATTTACTGAATTAACCTCAATAAATTTAATTAATTTGGAAATTAAAATTTAAGATGTTACAGCTAACTCCTGCAAATCCTTATCTTCACACCATAGACAATAACATATCTATATATGGCCCTCTTTACCTCACTAGGGTTTAAGAAGGTCATACCAATCATAAAAAAAAGGCTTACTTTTTATGGCCCTCCTATCTTCCTCCACATGCCCATCATCATCTAGGTCGAAGTCAGACCCACTTGTCTCCTCTTTACTTTCTTCTAAGTGGTCCTATAGTCACTACCTTTAGAGCTTCCTTCATCACTTCTTTTGTTCCTTACTACCAGTACTCTTACTCTCGTCTGAAACATCCTTTTCATCATTATGGCCATCATTCTTATCATTCCAATCATGCTCACCATTATAATGTCCAACTCTAGTATATGACTCATTTAGCCAACTTGCTACATCTATACTAGTATTATCATTTTGCTCTTGAATTCTAGTATTATCATCTATACCAGTGTATGACTCTTGAATCCATTTCTCTACATCTATTATATCATCCTTAATGGCCTTATTCTCACTCTAGTATACTTCTCTAACATTATACTCTATTTGCTTGGCTCTACAACATTCAATGCCCTCAGTTACTTGACTCAAGTAATCAAATGCATTATTACGCTCACCCACATGACCTAAATCATTAGATGCATCAACAAGACCTAATGTAATCTTATTTTTTTTCAATTACCTTCTTAGATCTTTTGTATTATGACAACACTAAAAAGAGGAGGCCTAGTCCCTTAAGCACAAAGTTTGAGTTGTCACTTGCTTCTTCATTACTAGCCTCATGTTCTGACATCTTAATTTTTTATCAGCAATTTCACTCTACAAATACAATAATCAATAATTAGATAGAGGGCATAAGTAGGATTTCACAGTATAAAGAAGTTATTACTTTTGAGATTTCTTCAGACTTCACTTTAAGAAGTCTTTTTTTTTCTTCAAATCAATGGAGCTTTGCTCTATCCTTTATACCTTCTTGTAATAGAGGAATCTTCAAGCATATGTGACCCTCTTTGAAAGAGGCTTGCAATTTTTGTAATGACCTCCATTATTAAACCTTAAATAACTCTACTAACTAACACTTTAAGCAAAAGGATCAACCATGACTTTAATATTGGAAACATTTATTAAGTGACAACTCAAAATTAGGATCCCAAAGAATAGTTAAAGATTAACTAGAACACTTTTCTAAAGTCAGAGTATTTAAAAATATGTGGAAACATGAAAATATCAAACATAGCATTAAGAAAGGGACAAAAAGGGAAAAATTTTCATCTCAAAAGATAGGACTAGCTTGTCACAGCTAAGAGTACCTTCTTCATAGCCAACTACATATGGAACCACTTGCCATGACGTAAGACCCCTTTGTTGCGAACCTAGTTGCATTTACTTACTTGTTGTAGCTGAAAGCACGTTTGCCACGGCGTATGGCACAAAAGCCAACTCATTGTAACCTACAGCTTTACTCACTATAGCCAACACAAAATATGCACTCACCATAGAAAACCCTATGTTAACAACACAGTTATCACAACATGCAGAGAGAAACATTTAAACCCCATAATTAATCACTTGGACTTCCAACTAAGGTGATCTAAACTCTCACATAAAAATAATTAAATAATCAAGCAACTGGTACTTACTACAACTCAACTTAATACCAATTGAGGATCTTGAAATACTAAGTGATGACTTGGAGCCTTTAGACTCTTTGCACTAATCACAAGTGTCTCCCTTCATATATTAAACTAAGCCTTACAAATGCAAACATGCATTAACACTCAAATCAAGCCTAAGTATCCCAATCACAATGATATTGCATAACAATTAAGATTGTCAAATTAATCATAGTAATTAGACAATTACATGGTTGACCTCTCAACCCATACATGAGGCCAATAACTCACAAAATTGCCTAAATTCTCAATTGGGCTTATATGCAAATAAAACATATATCCTCCAACAAATAAGTGTATGCAATACATCTTAGAGTTGGCAAAATATCATTTCATTGCACAAAAGTTAGCTAAAAACATTACAAATATATTTCTAATTCTTTGGCATCAATGCCTCTGCCTTTCCCTTTGCCTTATCGTCTCCTGGAAAAACATTAAATAAAGGGAATGAGATTAAAAAATCTCAGTAACCAAGAAACTTAAAGAAAGCATATTAAAGTGTGGCAGTTGCATAATAAGGCAATCAATAACATAACAACCAAGTCATCACATAAACTCATTTTCATATATATATATATATATATATATAAATTCTTATGAGAAGTGAATCACCTTATATCCCTCCTTATATCATCTGATTGAACCCATAAGCTATTAATCATATAAGAATAGTCTATACAATTGAAGCTAACTTTGCTCTCTAGGTTATTTAGCCAAAGGCTCCCATACTCACTCTCAGATCATGGGTTCCACTTACTCCATTTTGAAGGTGTTATACATTATCTAACCCACATTATCCAGTCCAGGATAAGTGATATTGAGCATCATATTTGACCCATACCACACCCGTAGGTTATTAATAATACTAAGCACATTAGTAATCAAGGATGTCAACCACTATATGCAAAATCAGTAGAGGTTACACCATATGGATTTATACTAAGCTAGCCTTAAGCTAATCTAGGGTGAACTCCCACCCATCATGCTCATGCTAGCTCAATTAACCATATGCAATTTATTCATGCATAACATAACAACAGGCATGTAATAAACAACATAACTCGCATACTATCATAGCTCGTGTTACCATAAACTTTGCATCACTTTATACTTGCTTCCTTAATATAATACATATACATATGCTAACTCAAGCATGTATTTAAGGATATAAGCAACAATAATGATTTATAACTAGTTCAAGCTATTTCTCATAGTTCATATAGCCATACCAACCATACATTTTTAGCACTTAAATCACGTCACTGATTTATATCCAGTCAAGACTCCTTGTTCATACTTCACACTACACAACATCTTAATCAGAATAATCATATATTCATAAGCATTCAATGGCATAAATTCATAAAACAATTTTAATGCAATTGCAGACATAATTATATGCAATTATAAGATTTCTGGTTATCTTCACTTTTGAGTTACCACCCTAAGAGTTAAATTTGGATTTCCCAAGGGAGCTATTCCAGTCATACACTCCTAGCATAATCAATCTACAACCATATATGCAAAACAACATTAATGACTAATCATCATTAATTAACCCTTAATTGTAATTAAGGCTTAGTCCTTCACTAAGCATGATTAATCATCTCTAGCCCTAAAACTAACCATTATTAGTTTATTTAACCCCCTTTAAGCCCAATAACTATCATTAACTCTCATTAGCTTAAATTTAATTACTTAGCATTGGGGTTAACTCTAAACCTCTCATTAGTGACATTTAATGCTACCAACTACTCAACTTTAATGTTAGAAGCATTTATTAACATCCATAGACCTTGTCAAAGTCATAGGAATTGATGTAACTCAAACCTAGGTTTAGATATTGCCATCACAGGCCCTAAAAAAATGTAAAAAGAGCAAGAAGAAGAGAGATTAAGGGATTATGAAGCTTACCTAAAGCCTTATATGCTTCAAAACACCTCTAGGATCTACCAAGACAAAACTCTAGTAGAACTACTTAGTCTCTTGCAACTAAAACTCTCAAAACTTAACCCTTAATGAAGTTTGATTTTGTTCTACAATTTTTAAAATTCTAACGTGCTTATCATGATAAGTTACACTTGTTCGCTGCAACGAACATCTTAAAATATGCAACTCTATTTAAACCCAATTTCTGAACCCAATTCAACCTAAAAACCTCTTGAGCGTTGTTTTTAACCGTTTAGAGGGTCTAATAGGCTTAAATGGCTATCATAACCCAATTATTAACTCACAATTAACCCAATTAATGAATTAAATCAACCAATTAATTAATTTAAATCCTTAAATTAATTTCATCATATTACAATTTTACCCTTTTTCTTTTTCTTGCTAATGCTTATGATTATGGTTTGGTTAGGGCAAGGCTTTTGCACTTAAGAACGCTCACGATGAATGGACAAGTGAACTCAAAGTCGATGAATGGTTAGGTTAGGATTTTTGCATGCACTCTTTGCCCTTTGGTCTTCTACCTCCACCACATAGACACTAGGTGGATTAAATTTCATCTCACATACAGCCACATAGATAGAATTTCAGGCAAAATAGCACAATAAACTAGTCAACTAACGTCTGTCTATTTAAATTTAAGAAGAGGTGTTGGGAGTTCCGTTTTTAATAGTTCATAATTTGTTTTGCACTATCATTTAGTATAAGATATCATATACTTCTAAAAAAAAATAGTTTATGATTAAATTTATAAGTAATATATATTATATGTAAAAAAAAAAATGCGCCCTTACTTTAGGGATGAAATGACAATTAGAGCGCTCCACGTCAACTGATTCCTCCCATTATCCACAGATGCAATGGTAAAGATGTCCTGTGGGCTTTTCTGAAGGACAAGTTAGCTGAGCGCCAAGCCTGAGAATGCCGGGGCTGAGAGCACCCTCGGATTATTCCGGAGAACCAGCTCGACACCCATGCCTTCGTGTTAACTCCAAGGCAAACTTCCTCCTTCTTGTCATTTATTTAAGTGATTATTCTTCCTTTTTTTACCCCCTCTTGTCTTTCTCCTCATACCAGTACCAATTCAGATATGTGTAACTCCTAACAAAATTTGAAGTGGATGCGATATATATAACTTCTTTGGGGAAATGGAATTGATATTATGAAGTATAGGCTCTGTGCTATCGATACAGATGAAGGGACTGTTCTTTGGAGAACTAGTGACCTTGATTTGCGGCGACAAGTCCTTTTCTGGCTTGGTGCCTTCGGCGACTGTTTTATTTTGATTTCTGGAGTATTTAACTTAATGTGGCATATTTGGTTTGGGTGTATATTGTGCGTCTTTAAGCAAATGGCTTGTTTCCTGCTTTAAGTTGATGTCATGCCTTCGTAATTTTTTTTTTTAATGGCTTCTTACTTGATGATACGTGGTCATCATCCTATAAATGTTAGAAAGTTTCATGCTTTTTTCCACTTTTTTCTAATTTTCTGCATCGGCACTCAAGTTCAACCTGCTGTGTTCTTCAGGAACCATTCAATGCTGAGCCACCGCGTTCTTTGTTGATTTCCTCATATTTAACTCCTGCAGATTTCTTTTACAAGAGAAATCATGGCCCTGTACCAATTGTTGATGACATCGAAAGGTTACGTGTTGATCTTGCCTAATTCTTCCGCTTTGCTCATCAAGGCTGTTCGGTAAAGGAATTTTGACGTATTTCATGTCACGTTTGGCAGAGCAGATACTGCATCTCAATTTCTGGTTTACTAGAAAAGCCCAAACAGCTTCGGATGAAGGATATCAGGTTAGTGATGGTCAGGATACCTTCAAGAATTTTCAGCTTTGCTTAATATCACTTTGTTCAGACCTTTGCATGCTGCGTCTATTATTTATTTGCTATATGTATCTCCTGAAAATTTTATCTCGAGCAAGCAACTGACTTGTGATTCACTAATTTTCTCATAGGATGCTTCCAAAGTATAATGTCACTGCCACACTGCAGGTTGGTTAGTTGAAAATTCATACTGCATTTTGTCAGATAACATTTGTTTGATAAACTTGCAATTAAAGATCACATTAGGCTTTAACCAATAAAAGAAGAAGAAAAGACCATATTAGGCTTGAGTTTCCCACCACCTTTATCCGGCAAATGCATTCATCTTCTTTCAATGGGTTTTACAGTGTGCAGGTAATAGAAGGACTGCTATGAGCAAGACCAAAGCGGTCAAAGGAGTTGGTTGGGATGTTTCTGCCATTGGAAATGGTTAGTAGTATCATTGGTTGACTGGAACTTTCTCAACTTCTTTTAACAAATTGTGAATCAAGTAAGATTTCTTTTGTCATAAGTGGGAGGACACAGACCCTGGTGTAATCTGAAATTTTCTTATGGGATAAAATTTATACCCTGAAACTGTATTCCACATGCATAACTGTTTATTAATATCTGGGTTGAAGTATGTCTTTCCCAATGCATGTGGTGATGAAACATACCCCTGTTGTCTAGTGTCTGAGTTTATATGATATGTCTCAACTTCTAAGAATTCTTTGAATGTATATTTTTCTCAGCTGTTTGGGGTGGTGCTAAATTGGCTGATGTGCTTGGACTTGTTGGAATACCGAAGTTGACAAGTATCACTCAATTTGGTGGAAAACATGTAGAATTTGTTAGCATTGACAAGTGTAAGGTAAGAACTCCTAGTTTGTAAGTTTTTTCCCTTTTCTGGTTAATATAATAAGGTTTGTAAATTCACTCCAATGATCCTTGATAGTTTCTGGTCATTTATAGATGAGAGTAATCCGTTGTTTCTTTAAATCTTATAAAAAAAATGTAGGAGGCAAATGGAGGCCCTTACAAGGTATCAATTCCACTAGATCAGGCCACAAATCCTGATGCAGATGTTCTTCTCGCTTATGAGATGAATGGAGAAGTAAGTGAAACTAACTTCGTTTTTTTTTTTTTTTTGGGTGAGTGAAATTAGCTTCTTGAAGTCTTATTTCCATTCAAGATGAACTGCAGATACCATTTCTAAAGTCATTAAAAGCTCTAGAGAAATATGGTGCATGTTTGTTGGAAACAGAGTTATAACCGAGTCTGACTCTTCTGTTGCTTTCACTTTCTCAGTGTAAGGTCAGCTCTTGTATAGTCTACGTGTTTGACCCATGACTGGAATCTATTTATTCAAAACATGTCTTCATGCGTTAATGATAAAAAAACATGTTATCACTGCTTTATGATTGATCTGTGAAATAGACATGCTAGATAATATGTGGGGTACCTTCTTACATGCGGTGCTACCTTTAAGTTAGCATAGCTAAAACTGTTTTACTAAGCTTGCTCTTCCAGGATTTCAAAGATGTTTTCCTTATTATCGTAATTCTTTCTTTATCTTGACAAACCACTGCTCTTTTTTCCCTCCATGTGTTTTGTGTATTTTTCTTTTCTGCTTTTAGGGTCGAGGTAGTTGAGCACACTATAATATCTTTTCATGCTGTTCTTCTTACCGCCGTTTAATATTCTTTTGCCTTGCTTTAGCCTCTCAGTAGGGATCATGGGTATCCATTACGTGTGGTTGTTCCCGGTGTTATTGGAGCTCGCTCTGTTAAGTGGCTTGATTCCATCAATATCATTGCAGAAGAAAGTCAGGTCTGATATATGCTGTAATATGATTCTGGTATTACTAACATTTCCTTCTTATAGAGTTCTATGACATCACATTGTCACGTGGCAGGGTTTCTTCATGCAAAAGGACTACAAAATGTTCCCTCCCTCAGTGAACTGGGAAAACATTAACTGGTCAACCAGGAGACCCCAAATGGATTTTCCTGTCCAGGTAATTATTTTCTTTCAACGTTACCTGACATTTTTTTTTATGAATTAAAAAACCAGTCATTTAATTATCTTTCAATCACTTCTAGTGTTTATATGTTCTGGTTAATGGAGCAGACACAAAAATTTCCTTAGATTTGGAAGCTGAAAATTTGTAACTAGTACTCACTAATTTACTATGACAGTGTGTTATATGTTCTCTGGAAGATGTGAGCACAGTAAAGCCTGGGAAGGTTAGTTTATGCAACCGCTGGTTTGATGAGCTATTCTATGCAGGAATGTGTATCTGTTACTTATTATTTCAGCTTTTCATGCGCCCTATTGATCCTATTTTACCTGGCATGTTCATTCAGATCTCCGACCACATTTTCCTATAAATTTGGTACAATGGTTTTGGTTTTCAACTAAGAAAATTCAGAAAATAAGTTTAGGTTGATTTTGAATCCCCTTTGTGTCGTTGTTCACCAAGCGAAGTAAGCAAGACTGACTATCTTGCATGTTAAATGTATTGGTAATTGACTAAATTCTAATTCTCATATACCACGTGTAGGTAAAAATTAGCGGATATGCAGTATCTGGGGGTGGCAGAGGCATAGAGAGAGTAGATATATCTGTTGATGGAGGCAGAACTTGGCTGGAAGCTTCAAGATTTCAGAGAAGTGGCATTCCCTACGTAGCAGATGATGCTAACAATGACAAATGGGCATGGGTGCTGTTTGAGGTCACAGCTGATATTCTTCGTAGCACTGAAATTATTGCAAAAGCGGTACGGCTCATTTTTTTGCCTGCTAACAAATATTAACCATGACTCTAGTTTTTCACTTAATACTTTATATTATAAAAGCAATTTAACCCAAGTGGCCTGATTTGCATAATGGTTCGCAAGGATCAATGACAATACTGTTGAATAACATCAAAATTAAACTAGGTTTAATTATTTGGTAGTGTAGCTCAACCAAAATCGTTTTTTTCTCAACCAATTAAATTAGGAAATTTAATTGAAAATTGTTAAAATCAAATGATGCCTAATTAAACTCAATTTGCCTTCAATAGTATTAAAAAAGTCTAAATTAAGGGGATAAAAATGTGATTTATCAATCAACAATCAACAATATGATGGAGTTAGTATCTGCCGTTGTCACGTTTGGCTCATTTTGCAGGTAGATTCAGCTTCAAATGTGCAACCTCAAAAAGTAGAAGACATTTGGAACTTGAGAGGGATATTAAACACTTCATGGCATCGGATTCAAGTCCAAGCAGGTCACTCAAACTTGTAAAAGTTTCGCGGCTTTTGTGTGTGTTGCCATGAACCAGCACTCCATATTCAACTGTTTATGTTTCTCATCCCGTATGACATGTGTAGCAAAGAGAGTTCTTGGTCAAGGAACTTCTGAGGCTCTGAATAAGATTAAACATTAACTTGGATAATGTATAATTCATTTGTTATGGCCCAGAATCTTCTTATCCAATAGACATAAATTAGCTGTCAGTATGATGACTAATGGGCCTCCCTTCGAGCTTTTTCCTCTTCTAGAAAGACAATATTTCTGGCATGAGAAGAATAAAAACTCACAGATCAGGGGACTTGATAGATATGTAACTTAGACCAAACAACGGAAATGACTTCATTCTGTTTTTTGAATGAAAATGAAGAATGTGCAGGGGAGTAAATTCCTTCCAGGGTCTTCTTCTTTTTAGTTCTAACCGGTGACATGGTTTAATATCAACGTTGAAAATCGAGTATGATGTATACTGTTCTAAATGTAGGAAATATATAATTAATTCACATAGATTAAGAAAATTAGTTATTCATAAAATATATATATTAGTTTTTCTAAAATACTTTACTTTTTATTTATTTACATTAAAAACTATTTCTTCTGTTTAAAAATATAAGATATTTTTTAAGAAGTTGTATGTTTAAAAATGTAAGATTTTTAATCTTTAAAGATATAATTATTGTTTTTTTTTTAAGTGTTTTTATTGATAATAATTTTATATTTATTGTAAGGTATTTAATAAAGATAAGTATAAAAATATAAAATTAATTTAAAAATAAATAATTATTTTATTAAAGAATGAGATTTGATTAAAAATATTTTATATTTTTAAAACAGATGAAGTATCATGTTGATTGCAACTATGGATGGTTTGCGGAAAAAATACATAATAAATGTGAGAGCCGAACCACATTGAGATTTTACGTGCAGGATCAAAACATATTCATTACCTAACTCCTACATTTTGGCCCGGAGGGATGGCGTGTATGTTTCTGTGTTTACACGTGTTGTCAGAGAGTGTAAGAGACAAGGAGAAGAAGTGCTGCATGATGAGACAAGCTTCACCAACTTGGAGTGAAAAATCCTAGAGAGAGAATGGAGCAAGGTGAATGATTGGTACAGGGTGTCTAAACTATGAAAGCGAACCTGCCTGGTAGTTTCACTGTGATAAGAAAATTAAGAGTGGAGAAAAGCAAGACAGTGACAAATGCAAGAGGGCCCCACTCATTTACTCCATAATGAGAAACCTTTGCTTCCCATGCCATTTCAAGAAACTTCCCATGATAGCTCTGAACCATGTGATCAACGTTCGTGTTGTTCTCTTAGCCGTGAATTCTGTAAAGGTAAGGTTTTGTCACTGTCTTTGTCATTGATTTGTCATTGTTGGACTGGTGTCCTGCATATTCTGGCATGCCCTAATTACAAGCAAATGACTCAGTAACTGTTGGTCCTACTCGGCAAAGGCTATCCATGTCTTTATCTAGAAGCTAACCTTCAAAACTGCCATTGTTGATCTTGCCATATCCACCTTACTGCTTTTACTCATTATGCCAGTTTTAGAGCCTTAATTACATGATAAATGGACTTTAAGTGCTGTTGAATAATAATTAAGAAAGATTAGAGCTTCTGTTCCTGTCATTTCAAATCATCATCCACATGGACGAGCGGTGATTGTCTTCTTTCTTCTTTCTATTATGAAAAGACCCAAAGAAAACCACTATTGCATAAAATATAAGACTTTATAATTGATTGTACTGCTTTTCAGCGCAGGCATGAAAACTACATGTAACATAAAAAAGAATCAACGTGGATATTGGGTTGAAGCATGTAATCTCGAAATTAAAGCTCATAGAAAGCTATTCAATTATTGAGACATGTTGGCAGGTACTCTTGAAGCGTCTCCATTCTTTTTCCAACCGCTGAAAAATTGGCCAAGAAAACGCAATGCTCAATAGCTAAACTGAAAACCGAGTCAGATCACAACTGAAGTCATTTTTGCTCTTTTTTTTCCCCTACTAGTTAACATCACAATATTTTCTTATTTAGATTTGTGTCCTTGATAATAGACACTTAGATTATTACTATTTCTATCCCAAGTTATAAAATATTTTTAGATAAAATTTTACATATTAATAAATCTCATTAAATATATTTAATTATCTTATTTTTTTAAAATAAAAATACAAACTTTTATCTCATAATTTAATATACTAAAAAAGAAGGAACGAAAATTAATTATAGAGAGAGAAATGATAACATTAAAATTAGTTTATTCAATAAAACCTTAATCTACTCAAAATATATTATATTTTGAGGCAGAAAAACTCTTTTAAAAATACCCTATAATTTGAAACAAAGAGAATACAAAATTACAATGAACCTGGACACCTACTATTTTGAGTTTAGTTTTGTTAGCCCCCATTGATATCTGTTCACTAATAGCCCCTCTGATCCTGTTTATTGGATAAAGAAGGAAGATTTTTTTAGTCCTGTTTACAAGTTAACGCATTAAATTTTTATCATAAATTTTTTCATTTGCCCTCTAATCAATGTTGGAGAGAAAAAATATATTATTAAAGTATATATACTTAAGGGCAAAGTAAAGAAATTATTAAATTTTTAGATATAATTAATGAGTTTTAAAGTTTTTTTATTTTAGTAAAATATATTAGAAGTGATTTATAACCAAGATGAAAAGAGTTTGAGAAACCTCGGCCAAGAATAATAAATAACTATCAGAATCAATGAATAAATTCTTCAAGACAAAGCCATTAATTTACAATATATTTGATTTAATGATAGTCACCCACTGTCTTAATAAAGCCCCTAATTACATAATAAAGCCACTCTTCAATAAGCTGGCAACTCGCAGCTTTTATATATGCTTGCCAAATCAGTGAGTTGATTGGGATTTGTTAATTTTTTAACCGGATTTATTAATGATTTTTTATTTTAAAAAACTGACTCATTGCTTGAGTTCTTTGAATTGGGCAAGTGATTGATTGTTTTTTGTTTTTCGATTGGGTTGGTTGATGCTATCAAATTGATATCAAAATAATTAACCTGTGAAGCTAAGTAGTAGTCTGCGAGAAACCTCTATTATATTGTTTCATTTCAAGCCATCAATAAAGTCGTAGTTCATGAGAATCTAATGTTACTATTTGCATATTTATCAAGTTGATCCAATTTTTCTTGCTTTCTCTTTTTATTTCACATTTTAACACTGGTTCATAACATTGAAGAAGACCAATCCTGACAAAGTTTGAAAAGTTCTGTCAAACAAATAAATATTAACATTTTAATTTATGTAAATAAATAATTCAATATATTTTAATTAAAATAAATTTAATAAAATAACAAACATCAATTTTATAATAACTAATAAATATGGTAATATATAAATTGATATCTAATTGAAATCAAATGCAGGAAAAATATCCGCATTTATTCAAAAGTTGGGGCAAGCACTCTATTAAAATTCATAGGACCAAATTTTTTAAGAAAAAAAGAATTGAATGATCTTAAATTTTAATTAAATAATTTTTCTTGCTTATTGATATTTTATTTATTTTCATTTAATTGTTGGAAAAGTACCAAAAATGCCTAATCTTTTAAGTTATAACATAAAAATTTGGAATCCTTTGTTGTAAATTTTTCTTATGTCATTTCTTGTAGTTTTCCCAATTTTTTCTTTTCTTTTCTTTTTGTTTTTTTTTAGAAACTTCATCTTCCTCGCGTGAAACAAAGCATCGACCTTGTCTAATTTTCTTCCTTCTCTTCATCAACATGATCTCCTCTAATTCCTCACTGCCGACCCATTTCTTTGGACTTCATCGCCAGCAAGTTTGTGGCTGTTTAATAGCAGCACGAGCACTCCATTCTCCTCCATGGTATCTTGGCAGTCCTTCATTCTTTTGCTCTGCATCGTGCGTCTGAAGACTTGAAAGATGAGCACACACTAAAGAGAGCACGCCAGAGAGAGTACACAGAAGATTGTTGCCGCCGGCTATTGTCGGAGACGGCTTGGCAGTGGGAGGACAATGGCAGATCTAAGAATGCATAGACACGAGATAGTGAGACAGGGGAGATGAAAATGAGAATGTGAGATTGGTCCAAAAAAGAAAATGAGAATATGAAAGTGTGATATGGGTAGGTAATATTTTATACATAATAACAGTAAAAGTCAATTTCAAAAAGCTCTGTGAAGCAACTTCATCAAAAAATTAATTTTTAGCTAGACAATCGATTAATAACAAATCCTGATATTTGGATAACTTTTTGGTAAACCATGGTTTGTCCCCAAATAATTGATTATTTGGGCAAACCAAACAGGCACTTATTATAAAAGACCAAATTAACTTTGGTTTATATTATTGTTCAAAAGTGTTAACTTCATTTCAGTTGATAAGGAGATCTCTCCCTAACAATTGAGATTTAATTTACTCTCTCCATTTTTATATATGAGAACTTTTTTAAAATTTTTTTATTCCTAAATATAAAGGGTTGTTAACATATTTTTTTAATGAATGAACCATTATACCCTTATTAAATTGAAAAGAAAAAATATAAGTATTCTCATTAATTTACTTTGAAAAAAGAGATTCATTTTTTATTTAAAATAATTAGGGACAAAATTAAAATGTTGATGTGCTGTTAATTAGATAACTAATTTTTATTATTTTGTATGATTCGATTAAAAATATTTTATATATAAGGATAGAGAGAATACGTACTAAATCATTAAATTTCATAAAAGTGTGCCCTTATTTCCTTCCATTTAGTATTATAAGATATTTCTTTCATCCATATATATAAGGTATTTTTAATTAGATTTTACATACCAATGAATGTTTGTTATTTAGTTAAACTCACATAAAAACACAATAATTTTTTAATTTTACTCATAATAATATCATAATTAATATCATGATGGTGATAAAGAAAACATACAGTTAATAATTTATTCTATTTTTCAAGATAAGGATAAAATTGTCTTATTATTTAAAAATATCATTATCATATTTAGAGATAAAATAAACTTCTAAAAAATACCTTATATATAGAGACAAAACTCATAGAAGGAGTTCTTTTTAACTACTCTATACTTTTAATAAGTTAATTAATGTCATTTGAAATTGCACATTTTTTTCATATTTATTTTTATTTAATAGGTTGTCTCTATTAAAAAATTTAATTATAACCCTAATCAAAATAATTTTAAAAAAATCACATAAAAATACAATAATTTTTTAATTTTATCCTTAATAATATCATAATTAATATCATGATAATGATAAAGAAAACATACAGTTAATGATTTATTCTATTTTTAAGACAAAAATAAAATTATTTAACTACTTAAAAATATCATTACCACTCCTTATATTTAAAAATAAAATAAGTTTTTAAAAATATTTTATATATAAAGACGAAGGGAGTATTTTTTAACTGCTCTATATTTTCAATAAGTTAGTTAATGTCATTTGAAATTACACATTATTTTCATATTTATTTATTTAATAGGTTGTCTTTATTAAAAAAATTTTAATTATAACCCTAATCAAAATAATTTTCAACAAATATTATTAATTATATTTTAAAAGACTCAAAGTAACATATATTTTTTAACATGATATCAAAAAGTGTGCTTTATATATCAATAGCGAGGAGTATTTTTTTTTTTTTTTTGGCCTTGGGCTGGGAAAATGTACGAAAAGTTTGTCAGTTTATTTAAATGACAGCATGCTTATGAACTTAATTTGTCTTAAATTTCTTGGCAGAGTAATTTATTAAGGAGCATCTATATCTCTGGGAGGGGAAAAGAATAAAAGAAGCACTTAATTTCCTTCCAGATGGTGTGGGGCAGGCTTCATAGAGTCAAGTCAATTATTTATTTATTTGTTGGCTTATAGAGGAAAAGCTCGGTTCATCTTCATGATATTAAATTTGTACTGCAAAGCATATCTTTGGACAGTGAATGTGAATATATAGCAATTATAAAAAATTTAATATTAAATTTAAATTACATTGAAAATAAGAAAAATTAAAATTATTTGATAATTTTTATAAAATTTTATTTTAATAAAATTAAAATAAAATAATATTTTAAATCTCAACTATTGAAATCATCATCAGTGTCATGAGCACAAAAGTCAGGTCGGAAAAGTTCATTATCTTCATGCCATCGAGGGACTAACACAGTATTCATGGTCAGAATAGAATAATCATTCATAGCCATGCTCCTCCGTTCCCTCCATCCTCTCTCGCTCATTCTCTCCTTATTCCTCTTCATTCTTTTCTCAATAACACTACTTCAGCTCAGGCGACTCCGACTCCGACGAAACAACTCAACCCACCACGGCCCTCCGACCTACCCTCTCATCGGTTGCCTCATCTCCTTCTACGCCAACCGTAAGAGCCTCCTCCATTGGTACACTCACCTCCTCTCTCACTCTCCCACCAACACCATCCTTGTACACCGCTTAGGTGCACCCAGGACCATTATCACTGCTAACCCGCAAAATGTTGAGTACATCCTCAAAACCAACTTCCTTAACTTCCCCAAAGGCAAGCCCTTCACCGACATCCTCGGTGACTTCCTCGGACACGGAATATTCAACGTCGACGGCGAGCTCTGGCGGACCCAACGTAAACTGGCCGCCCACGAGTTCACTGGAAGGTCACTGAGGGAATTTGTGATCCACACACTGGAGGAGGAGGTGGGTCAGAGGCTTCTTCCGGTGATGGAGGCTCTGTGTATAAAACAACAAATGGTGGACTTGCAGGAGCTACTAGCTAGATTCTCGTTGAATGTGATCTGTAAAATCACGTTAGGTGTTGATATTTGTTGCCTGGATCCTTCTGTGCCTGCCTCGCCTCTTGCCAGAGCTTTCGATGAGGCCTCGGAGATATCTGCGCGACGCGGAACGGCGCCTTTGTTCGTGATATGGAAGGTGAAGAGATGGGTCGGGGCTGGATCTGAACGAAGGCTTAAAGAAGCTGTGGGGGAGGTTAGGAGACGTGTGATGGGAATGATTCGAGAGAGGAAGAATATGAGGATGAGAAAAATAATGAACCATGGGCGTGAAGATCTCTTGTCACGCCTTATATGTCAAGGTTACGAGGAGAACATGATTAGAGATATGCTGATAAGTTTCATGATGGCGGGAAGAGACACCACCTCGGCAGCTCTGACATGGTTCTTCTGGTTGCTTTCTCAGCATCCAGAAGTGGAGGAGCAGGTTGTGAGAGAGACCCAAGTTAGAGTAGAAGGGGAATTAGAGTATGAATCATTGAAGAAATTGAAGTTCTTAAAGGCATGTCTGTGTGAGTCAATGAGGCTATACCCACCTGTGCCCTGGGATTCTAAGCATGCCATAGTTGATGATTTGCTTCCAGATGGTACAGTGGTGAAGGCAGGAGATAGGGTGACGTATTTTCCTTATGGGATGGGGAGGATGGAGGCATTGTGGGGGAAGGACAGGTTGGAGTTTAGACCGGACCGGTGGTTCGTTGAAAGAGACAGCGTCCAAAGAACAATGACAAAGGTGTCTCCTTTCAAGTTTCCTATATTTCAGGCTGGTCCCAGAGTGTGTCTTGGGAAGGACATGGCTTTTATACAGATGAAGTATGTGGCGTTTTCAATTCTCCGGAGATTCAGAATCCGGCATATTAGCCCAGACCAGCCTTTATTCGTGCCACTTCTCACGGCACACATGGCCGGTGGCTTTAATGTCTTGATTTGCAAGAGGAAGAAGGAAACTGATAGATGATGACTTTACATGGGCTCAATTCTATTCCTTATTTTGAATAAATTTCCGGATATTAAGTAAAGTCAATGGTTCTTGGTCAAACTAAGTGAAGCTTTCAATGCTTCAAAAAAATTATCCTTGCCAGTTAAAAGTGTAAAAACCTTAAACGAGGCATCTTGCACGCGTTTTTACCCGCTTACTTCTAGTTATTCAACATGCTTCACTGAGCAAATGGCACTTGATCTTCTATAAACTATGGTCAAATTATTGTTTCCACGCCTAGTATTTCACGTACAATGATCTTCGCAAGGCGCAATTTGAGTATATTCAAATAGTGATCGTCCTAACCGTCCGCCGTCAAGACTTCATTATCCTCTGCCTTTGGGGTGTAAGACTACACTACCTGTTTTTGAGTTTTTCTATCAGCAATCTAGCGCATTCGATACCTTGGTAATCTGACTCTGACAGGTCCATGGTTGAGCCGTTGAGACTTGAGACAAAGGAAAAATAAATTTCGTCACATCATCGCGTGCAGTGTATTTTTTCCCTCCGCTAAACAAAGCAGTGAATTACAAAATTCAAGACACTGTACACCCATCCATCATCCGGCCCCTTATAAATTGTCGTTGAATCCAGCGTGAACTTAGCCACAAATGAACACCATCGTGAGCCACAAAGGAGAGACATGTGAGACTGTTGTACTACTTGTCGCCTACTAAACAATTATCAGCACAAGTCTGTCGACTATACAAGTGCTTAAATCAATTACAAAACATGTTTTGCATTATAGTGGAGCAGCATTCTTCGTAAACATGGATACAGAAAGGTACACAGGCTACCCCACAAAAGGGAGAATTGATACAGACAACGAGGCTCATGGACCACTTACTACACCTGGAGTCATGTGCTACCAGGAGCTTCACTTCCTGCAGCTGGTTTGCGATTCAAATAGCGAATAACAGCATCTTCAACCCTGTTCAAGTTGCCAAACAAAGACACCATTCAACCACTAAGCGGCAATGCATTATGAATTCAAACAGAATTGAAGTTCACCATTTTATGATACTGAGGCAGTGAAGCTCAATTTAACCTAGCCCAAGAACTAAAATATATCATCATGCATACCGAGTCATGAGTTGGAAAAAACCCAAAAGAGAAAAAAAAAAAACCATGGTGTTGGATGTTTATACAATACATCCACAACTAAAATGCAGCCCCAGTCATACAGAAGATCACCCCAACACAAGGCAATCAATGGAAGAGCATGCAGAGTAGTGTAATCAAAGGTTAGAAACATAATAAAATTAAAAATCATAAAGGACAAAGTTACATAGGAGATAGCTGCTAAGCTTACCATGGTTGGTTGAAGAAATCTGAACGACGCTCTTTTTCTGCATTGCGACTGGGTTCCCCGGCCACAAGTTTTAGATCCCTGCTTTGAGATTCAATCAAGGCATTTATGAATTCCACAGGAGATTGGCTAAACCCCAAAAAGAATGCCCGTCTCTTACGGTGCTCATGGATTTTTCTTATGATTGCACATATTGATTCATCACAGGCTTCAATCTCTTTGTTCTTCTCCACATTGGCCAATAATGCAGACAACTCCCTTTGAATGGGGAAAGGAACATCAACCATCACATCATAACAAGCACTTCCCGCAGGACAATTTCCAGAGAGCTTGATCCTGTGCTCTAAAAGTATAGGCTGTGGAGAGAATAAATGCTGTGATATCCTCTGTGAAACCATGGTAAACTTCATCTTTTCTTCCCCAAATACTTTCTGAAGAGCTGGGTCACAGAAAAAGAAAGAAGGGTCATTTGGGTTCTGTAATTTCCTGGCCTTCACATAATGCCAGATTGCAGCAACAATTCTCGGGCGGGTATCAACCTCAATACCAAGAACTTCTACCAATGCTGGAGAAAGCTTAAATTTTTCAGGTACATAATTCATTTCCAACCGTATATTCACCGTAAATTCCTTGTTCCCTTTTCTCTTCACTTCAAAACCCTCATGAGGAGCAGGAGACCTAGCATTCTCCCACATAATTATGTGACTATCAGGATAGAGCCTCTGATCCAAAGAAATGGTTACTCTTTTAAAGAAAGATGAGAATTTGGGATAATTGGGGTTAGACCTCTGAACTACTCCTGGCTGATCAGGATCTACACCATCCTCCAGTATTCTCCCTACAATCTTAAGAGTCCACGTAGGAGGCTCAGCATTTGGCTTCTTGGGAATTGGACCTGCTTGATTAGCAAAAGTGTTAAATACATAGATGCGAAGAGTTTTCTGAATACAGGGTGGGGTTTTGAGGGCTTCTTGGATGTCAACCTTCTTCCTAGAAAGTGCAGCATCAACCCGAGATTCAAACTCAAGAAGCTGGGTGTAAAGAGCAGACTCCGGCAAGATAGCGGCCACTTTATCTTGAAGCTGCTTCTCAGGCAGCTTCTGCTTCTTTCTTCGAGCAGCAGGTGTAAGTTCCATGGGTCTTAAAGGCGAGGCAGTGTTAGTCGGGGAAAATCCAATTGGGCGAATTGGGGGTTTTAGAGGGAGACGCTTTGCACTTGAATTTCCAGGTGTTGAAAAGGTGGGGGGTGACACCCCTAAATTCCCAAATGCACCTGACTGGCTCGGATTAAGAGACAAACCTTGAGCTTGCAAGTGAGCCTGGAGCTGAGCATGCGCTGCTTGAGCATGAGCTTGAGACTTAGACTGAGCTTGGGCAATAGCATTAGCATGAGCTTGGGACAGCTGAAACTGGCCTTGAAAACCAGGCGCGAGCTGAGCTTGGGCCTGCGATTGCGAAAACCCAGGGGTTCCAGGAATAGAAGAGGATCCTATTCCCGCATTGCCAAATGATGATGAGGAGGCCCCAAGGCTCTTAGGAGGGTTATTACTGTTCACAGACATCGCTATCTTACTCTAATCAACAAGACAACCAGGTGCCAAAAAGCTCCAGGACCCCTTAAAAAGATTGTAACTTTACCTATAGATATTAACTGGTAAAGCAATGGCATGCGCAACAGATTCAAGCACCTGGATCATAACCTCCACAATCACGAAATTGGCATTTGCCTGCCAAAAATCCAAAATGACTAAATCTGAATCAATTAGGATTTTACCTTTACAGAAAGTCGTGGACAAAGGTCCCGGCGATCTGGCCCCAGAAGATCCAAGAACGACCACTACGGTTAGTCTATTTGCGCCAGCCAACCCTTGGGGGCACTAGCCAGGAAGAGGAAAACCCAATACTTCGGTTGCTCTATACACTTGTGGGTTCCAGATTCGATAGAATGAGCAGAAGGCTCCAATGTATGAGAACTAACAAAAGAAAGGGCGAGGCAGTGGCCGTGTGTCGAAGCTCCGAAACTGAGTCGGCCTTCCGGGAGGTCGATGGTGGCGGTGCCTAGGGTTATGGAATGGCCGAATTGTAGATTAAAGTCGGCCAGTGTTCAATTCAGAGGCTTCTCTCAACGGTGTCGTTTTAATGTACGAATTTTTTTTCAGTGTTTTTCTTTTCTTTATTAGGGAAATGACATTAAAAGCTCTAAAAAGCAAAACTTTTATAAATAAGGCCTAATAGATTTTAAAATTATTTTGAGAGCATTATAGGCCTTAAAAAGCAAGAATTTTATAAATAAGGTCTAATAAATTTTGAAATTATTTTGAAAGCCTAAAAGCCTCATTTGCAATTATGTTTTTTGGTGAAATGATTAATTTGTCCCTTCCATAACCAGCTTCTTCTTCCTTTGTTCGTCATTCTCTCTCTTCCTCTATTCTTCCTCTCTCATCCTTCTCTCTCTTCTTCCTTTAATACTGATACAATAATCAAATTCATTTTCCTCCCCATCATGTTTCTCTATTTCCTTTCTTCTTCTTCCTCCTTCTTCTTTCTCTCTCTCATTTGAAGCTTTTTCATTCAACAGGTATGAGTGGGTGATTCACTTTTATCCAGATGGATATGGAGAAGATGATCAGGTGTTCGTCCGATTACATTCCTCTCACGCCAACCAACTTCTTGAAACAATTCACCATAGTGTAGAAAGAATGGATCAACTACTGCATCTGCCATATCAATTTTATCTAATCATAATGTACGCATTTACATTCGTTTAATGAAAATAAGTTGTTATTTATAGACTTTTTATTATTTCTGATACATATTTTCTTACAATTGATATAAATGTTCTGGTGTAGATGTTGTTTATGAAATTTATGTTGTTATTTATGGAATTTACGTTGTGCAAACTTTACAATTAACTTGTGCAGATATTTATGTGTATCATATCAACAAACCCTGTATTATAAATATATGGACATTGTGTTGTTAACAAATGGATACTTTTATGTTATATACAGACCTTTTGTTTTTCATTAACTTGAGAAACTTTTTATTAAGCCTAGCCAACTGATAAACTAGACATATATAGACTTTCAGTTAAGAATATATGAACCTTCAATTGTGCATCGAGGATATTATGTTGTACATTATTTGCTTACATCTGTATTTTGTCAAGTCTAGCCTACTGATAAAGTAGTAGAATCTTATGAACTTTTAGTTAAGAATAAATGAACCTTATATTGTGCATAGTAAATATTGTTATGCATTGTTTGCCTATTTGTGCATTTTGTTAAGTTAAGCCTACTGATAGAGTAGAATCATATAGACTTTTAGTTGAAAATATATGAACCTTATGTTATGCATAGTGAATATTGTGTTGTGTATTGTTTACTTACTTGTGCATTTTGCCAAGACCAGCTTATTGATAGAGTAAAATCTTATGGATTTTTAGTTGAAAATAAATAAACATTATATTATGCATAATGAACATTGTATCATGCATTATTTGCGTAACTTCAGTATTTTGTTAAGCTTAACATAATGATAAATTGAAATCATATGGACTTTCAGGTGAAAATATATCACAACTTTTTTTTCTTGCAACTGTCTTTAACTAGTCGTCCTCCCGGGCGGCTACGAACAAGAAAGATAGAGTCTTCTAAGATAGGAAGATTTATCATTGTTTAAGATGTGAGAAGGCTGGACACAGTCGTAAAACATGCAAGAATCCTAACTCAGCATGAGAAGTGGTTACATTATACTTCTTTGGTGTACACAAGCAACTATAATTATGTATATGAAAGTATTTTTAAATAATATTTTTTAAGTAAATGGGAATCACAAATATTTTTTGTTTGTATATGTAAAAACAACTATTAGATATTTTAAATATAGGGCTAACTTTTTGTATATATCAGACTTGAAATATTGTATCAAATTTTATATGGGTATTTGTTTTGGTACCTAGGCTATTACCAACATGAAATTATTCATATATGATGTAATTGTCCTTTTTAATATTGAAAATGCATAGACTTTCTGTTGAGCATGCGTGGATATCATCTTGTACATAGTAGATATTGTGTCATGCATGGTCTACCTAACGTCATTTTGTTATAGTCTAAGCTAGTGAAATATTGAAAATGTATGAATTTTTTGTTCACCACACGTGGACATCATATTATACATAGTAAATATTGTGTCGTGCATGGTCTGCCTAGTCATTTTTGCTAAAGCTAAGGCTAGTGAAATACTTGAAATGCATGGACTTTCTATTGAAATGTGTGGACATTGTCTCGTGCATAGTAAATGTTATATCGTGCATGGTCTATTTCATTGTTTTGAAAGTTCACGCAGGTTCTGAATTCAAATCAAACAAAAGGAAAAATCGTACTTTTAGTCTCAAAAAAATTAGCAGTAAGCGCCTTAAGGCCTGCAGAAAAATATCAGATTCATTTAGGCCAAAATTACAATAAAGTTTGTTTTTAAGGCCCTTAATGCCATTTCCCCTTCTTTATTTGTCTTTTTTTTTCAATTTTGTATTTTCTTTTAAGCCATGGGCAAAAAAAGGCTTGGATGTTGAAGTTACCTTTCTGTCAATGCTGACTTCGGTCGTTGGAGTCAGATCATCCTTATTGTCTTCGTCTCGTAGACAGTATACTGATAAAAAATTAACAATTTAAATTGAAAAAATGATAATAAATTTTTTTTAAATTATATAAATAATAATTTAATCTTTCAAAATATTGTAATACCAATAACATTCCTAAAAGCCTCTTTGTCAATAGCTTTTTTAGAAAAAAAAATTATCTTATCTTTATTGATAAATTGTAATTTCTTATTCAATTCTTACAAATTTTTTAAAAAAAAGTTATAATTCTTTAAATAAAAATTTTGAATAAAACTTGTTATTTTGAAAACTTATTTTTCAATAATAAAAATTATATTTGATAAATTATAATTTTTGTTAATTATTACTATTTACAGAACAAAAGTTATTATTCCTTAAATAAAAGTTATAGTTGGATATTGTTTTTCACTAACGAAAATTGTACTTGACAAGTTGTAATTTCTTATTTAATTTTTATGATTTACAAAGTAAAAATTATAATTTTTTAAATAAAAGTTGTAATTGAATCTTGTTATTTTCAATAAGAGTAAAATATTTTTTTTTCAAAAAATGTTATTGACAAAGAGATCCCTAGGGACTTCATTGATAGTAAATTGATATTCAAAAACTGTCATTTTCTCATTTAAATCCTCTAAAAGTAATATAAATAATTTTTGCAAAATTTTTCTTTAAACAAAATTTTATATTTTACAACAAATAATTAACAATAAAAATATTAAAAGTTGAAAATTTTATAGAAATTCATATATTTTAATTTTAAAGAATTTTAATTTAAAAATAAAAGCATAATACCATACTTGACTACATTCAAAACCTTTAATTTTTTTGAAATTTCACTGCAATTTAAGGGTGCTAATTTGATATTAAATTTTTGAAAAAAATAAAAAAATTATCCTTCATTTAAATTAATATCAGGACTGCTCTACTTCACTTCTTAATTGTCCTATTTCACCTAATCATTTACTTCTCAAATCTTATTAATTGCCCTATTTCACTTGTGTATTTTTCTGGAATGAAAATCAAATGAAAGTCTGACAATGAACAAATAAAGTAGGGCAATTAACAATGATTCATAAGTAAATAAATAACATATAGTATAAAAATTAATAAATTATCTTAAGATAATTTAAACACCTAAAATAAAAACAAGCTATGTGATAACATTTTAAAAGTAAATGAATAAGTGAAATAAGACAATTAACAAATGAATTAGAGCAATTTATAGTAGTTCGTAAGTAAATAAACAACATACGTTATAAGAATCAATAAATTATTTTAAAATAATTGAAACACCTAAAATAAAAATAAATTAAGTAGAGTAATTAACACCATTATATGAGTAAATGAAAAGGAAACTAGGGCAATTAACAAATGAAGTAGGAAATTTTTTATATTAATTTAAAAGAGGGGCAATTTTATCGTGTCTCTTAGAAATTTAATATCAAATAAGTACCCCTAAACTACAATAAAATTTTAAAAATTTAAGAGCTTTAAATGTAAATAAATTCAATCAAGGGTCCTTTATTAAAATTCTCTCTAATTTCTTTTTCTAAAAGTTTCTGAATTAGAGATATGTAAGGGGTCAAATAAATCAAGTGATTATACATGCCTTTGATTTTAATTTATAGATTATAGATATCAATATGAACATAAGGTAATATAAATGTATAATACATACTCCATCAGTTAAAAAATATAATGTATTTTTAACTAATATCACCCCTAATAAAATATTACTTGTTTTTAAACTAATGTAATCTTTTTATATTTATATAAGGTGTTTCATTCTAAAATAAATATAAAGTACTTTATTCATTAGGGACTTTTAAAAAAAATATACAAACACCTTAAAATATTAAAATATTTAACATTTTATATTTTATAATATTTATCCCCTGAAAAAATAAATTATATTTTTAAATGAAGGAAACACATGAAATGAAGAAAAAAATTATAAGTAGTTGGTGTCAAATGTTACAATACATTATCATAACGGCTAAGAAAAACACATGGTTTCATTTATTGTGTGAAAAATCATGATCATTCATTTAATCAAACGCTGTCAAGTTTATAACTGAAAAGAAAAAGGTTTCTAATACAATTTTTCAAAAATAAATTATAAACATTAACTTAAATAATGGTAAATTCAAAAATTTTAGTCATGGATGATATATATATATATATATATATATTTCAAATATAATGCTCAATTTATAATTGAGTATTTGTTGTCGTTATTTAAATTAATAATCACAACTTAATTTTTTTAAAAAATTATCAAATCCTAATTATCAATAAATAAATATTTTAAAACTTAAATGTGATTCCATATTATATTAATTGCATTGTGAAGATAGTGAGAAAAAGCTTGTATTACTATTAATTTATTATTTTTTAATGGCCTATAAATATTTTTATATTAGAAGTAATTTTATTCCAGATACAATTATTGTACATAGCGGGTAATCTTATTTAGGGATTCTTACTATTAGACTAATAGAATATAGAATAAATTTTGAATGTTGAAAAATAGAACGTACAAATAAATAAATAAAAAGCCACAGTTTTTGACAAGTGGAAAAAGAAAGGGTAACTGAAACCACATTAAAAAAGTAGCAGCAGAAGAACAAGCACCATTCATGGCTTTGGGCCCATTTCTTTTACTCAAAAACAATTTAAAAACCAAAGCAAGCCAGAGACCAGTTGTTCACAAAACTCGTAACATGCTTGTTTAACAGATAGATATAGATACAGATAGATTTTATTGAAAAAAAAAGAAAAGACATAGATAAATTTTAAAATTTTCAAATATAATAAACTAATATTAATATAAAATTTAAATATTAAATAATTTAAGCTATAAAACAATGTTAATTTGGGCCAGGGCTTGGAAATTACGTAGGGCGGGAAATGAGAAAAGCCCAGTCTAGTTAGCCTCCGCCAAGCCACACTTAAACCCTAGCCGGGCAGCCCATGGTTGACCGCGCGGCGCGTTCTTGTTAAACCCCTATTGCCTCCGGAGTACTGATCGTGTTCAAAACGGCAAACTCTCCGCCCCGCCGTGAACATGGTACCTTCATCTGGCACCCTTATCCCTCTTTCCTTGCATCTTCTCCTTTTGGATTTGTCTGCAGATGTCATTCGCTTGATTCAATTGTGTGTTCCAGGTGAAATAATCGAGAGAGCCAGACAACCCCACCAAGTGTGAGTGTTTTACATTTTTTCTATGCTAACTTTTTTGGTCATTGTTGCTTGATTTTCTTTGGCTATTATCGTGTGCTTATTATAAGGATAACGAAAAGGGCGCACTTTGAGGTTTATGTTGCACACCCGGATTTGATGATCCGGGACTGCACTTGAATTAAACATAATTTGTGGCAATTGTTGATTCTGATCGCATTGTGCCATTGTCCCAGCATGCAAAGCCCGGGGTTCAGATCTCAGAGTTCATTTTAAGGTATGTTTCGATTCAAACGAGATAATGTCATGTATGGACATACTGGACATACAAAATCAATGCATCTAACAACTTAATTCTTCATCTTTTCTATCGTTAATTAAAATTAATAACGTTCAATCCGTGCTAGCTTCATATGCCCGTCTTATTGGCTTACGATGCCACATTCTTCATGATCTTCCCCCATCTGATTTATTTTCAATTTTGAAAGATGATAAACATGGCAACGCTTGCTGAGGCTTTGTTACATCTGATGCAAATTGGTTTCCTTAATTCATTTTGCTACAAAAAAAAATGTCTGATCAATTTTATTTCTTCACGTTTTCATCTTTACATTGGACGATAGCAAGCAAAAAAAAAAAAAAAAGTCTGATGTAGGCTTTAGTTGTGATCCAAGTAGGTCTCTTTAGAATGCATCGATGCACCATAAACCTCTCCTTTAAGTAGGGAAGATAAAATGACAGTAAATTATGAAATCTTTTTATTGCTCATGGAAAACAGAAAATGTTGATTCATGATGCCAAGTCATGTTATATGATAGACATATTTCTGGCATTGTCAAGTCCCCTGCTATGTTGTTAGCAAACCGTAGGCAGAATAAAGCTAAAAATGTAAAATTTCTGGCGTTTGCAACTAAAGTGAAAAATGTGTGCTGAATTCTGGGATGCATCCATACATTTGTGGCTGTGAGTTTTCACTTTATCATCTAGGTGTCATTAAAGCCTTTCTGTTCTGTACGGAAGTAAGCATTCCCTTTATTTCAAGGGAATCATGGATGCTATGACTGAGTATGCGCTTTTGATCTGGGCAAGCCTTGTAATGCTCTGACCCGAAATATCATGTGTAGAATACAAGGGAAACAGCCTTCGCAATCAGGAAGTTACCCTTGGGAAAGGCTAAAAGGTATCTGGAAGATGTTATTGCTCACAAACAAGCAATTCCCTTTCGACGGTATTGTGGTGGAGTAGGCCGCACTGCTCAAGCCAAAAACCGTCATTCCAATGGTCAAGGACGCTGGCCTGTCAAATCCGCCAAGTTCATCCTTGATCTGTTGAAAAATGCTGAAAGTAATGCGGAAGTAAGTTACATTCCTTGGTGGATTTTGGCATACAGATCGCATATTGAAATATTTTCTCTTTATAACTGTTACTGAGTACCTGATCCAACGTGCAGGTGAAAGGTCTCGATGTAGATGCACTGCACATTTCTCACATTCAAGTAAATCAAGCGCAGAAGCAGAGACGCCGTACCTACCGTGCTCATGGGAGAATTAACCGTGAGTTTTCTACTTTTCTTGCTTTTATTTATCTTTTTAAGGGGAAAAGAAAGTAGACGACGAGTGTGTAGGGGCTAGCGCATTAGTTTAACTGTTTGATATGTTTTCTTCCGTTCCTTGTGCAGCATACATGTCATCACCCTGCCACATTGAGCTGATTTTGTCTGAAAAGGAGGAGCCAGTCAAAAAGGAGGTATTCATTTATTTCCTTCGAAGTTGTATTTTGAATTAGAATTAGATTAGATAGATAGATGTTATAAAGTAAAGGTCACGATTAATTTAACGTGACCCCAAGAGGTTAATTTCGGCGCATAGATGATGTGAAGGCCATTTAATTTTTAAATGCTTGAAACTGAGTTTCTGAATGGACACTTGGCCATCGGAACGGAAACACTTACAGAGGTGCTCGTGGTTTAGCTTCTTCTGTCTGTTTTTGGCCATATGCCAATGACACACGACACACTTCACTTAGTAGCAATCTTGCTGATTGCGTGGCGTGTACTCGTATGGGTAGAGCTGAGCTGAATCATCTCATTGACTCGGTGCTTGAATTTTTAATGTGGCCTCCTTGTTTTTAAGTGTTAATTTGCTGATGAAATTGTTGTAAATCTCTGATTATTGCTTTGTATGAAATTTGGTAGTCTATATTTGCTATATTCATATTTTGTTGATAGTAAGTAGTGGCTTTCCGTGGTCTGAGCTTTTGGTTGTTTACTTCCATTTGGCTGTTGAGTTGTGTTTATGTATATCGAGTCGAGTTATATGCTATGGCTGATGTTTATTTATTTTATTTTATTTTTTGGTGTTTTTGGGAATTGAAATAGCTGAACTTGATATGTTTGACTGATGGATTTATCCATGACGCAGCCTGAGACACAGCTGGCTCCCAGGACCAAGAGCTCGTAGGCTTGTGCACTCTGGCGTTCGTTGTTGAGATTGTTGGGATCCGTAGCTTCAGAATTATTGCGTTTTTTGCTTCCTTTAGTTTTTATCTGCTCATTGGGGCTTGTACTCCAACACCTGGCATCCACAATTTCAAATTGGCAACTCTCTATGATCCAATTTTGTTACGTTGTTAACTTTCATAGAATATATATATATATATATATCAATTCGGAGGACCTGGTTTCTGGACAGATACTGCTTCCTGTCTGTCTGGTGCTGAGCGCTTTTAGCAAATCGAGTCACTGTTGAAAGTTGAAACCCTTATAAGTCACGACAAAGGGCTATTCCTCTGGTCTTTTTTATTAATAATCACTTAATTATTAATAGTTTTTTTTTGTAAATTAAGGAAATTGATTAAAATTAGTTATTTCTTGTGGAATTTTAAAATAATCTTTGAAGTTTTTAGTTAAATGAGTGTGTTCAATTAGTTATAAAGTTTTATAATTTGGTATGGATATTAGATAGAAAAAACTGATGTTTAAGACAGTATCTTGTACTAAACAAGCACACAAGTGGTCCTTATAAGTAGAGGTGGGAGTAACATCCTTGTCCAAAAGTGCTAGTCTCTGTATATATCAAGTCAACTACTAGTTATCTTAATGACAGCATTACTTCCTTTGTTTGAATCTAGTGTTAATATACTTGTGGCCATGTATGGGTATGTATTTTCCTTTATTTTGAGGAAAGATTATATCAGAGTAATATATATATATATATATATATATGGGGTTAACAGCAGCCAAGTTCAAATTCGCGCACAGTCAGGGTTCTTTCATCAAAATGCCTTGGACGAGTCATCATATGGAGTCCTTTAACTTGCTCTAATGGTGAACTGGCCCAAAAAGATGCTACCTCAACATCTTTCAATCTGTCTTTGAGTAATCTAGTATTTCAAGCATAAATTTGTTCAAACCAGATATTCGCGTACGGCATTGCTCGTGATTTGAACATTTTAAGCATTGTCTTCAAGTCCAGGGAGGGAACCACCCTAACAAAAGATATGAAGATAGCAATTTTAAGACCATTGACAGGTTTTTTTCCTCCAAATTCCACCAATGGATACTATGTCAGTTTCACTGTTTTGCAGAGTCGACGATAAAAGGAAGCATCCTTAACATTTCAAGTTTTCAACCAAAACAAAAAACAAAAACAAAACAAAACAAAAGAAAATAAAAGATCCTTAACACGGAGTCTTTCTTGTCCAGGTAGTTTCAGAAAGCGACACCTCCCTAGAGAGATGCAAGGAGCAGAAGGCTCTGATGTAAAGACGACGCGGGATGAACCTGTGAAAGAGAGACTGACTCTGCTTATTACATAACAAATCAAACTTCAAGCTACCATGACAGCACAATTACGAATAAAGGGGTTAAGCTTGGTGCCGCCGCCATACTTGATCTTCCTCCACTCAAGTTCCTCCATAGCTGGATCAGGGCAGCAAGTGTATATAGTCAGGGCTCGCTCGGAAGAAGACACAGAGGTTGCACCAATCACAAGCAGCTCGTTACCCAGAGACTTGAACGCCACGCCCCATCCTTTCTGTGCATCAGCTCTCACCGGAACTGGTCCCAGCTTCTTCCACGAGTTGCATTCCTTCTCGTACACCTTGAGCACATTGGAACAAGCATCCAGCGAGTAAAGCTCGTTATTGGCAACAGCAATAAGAGGTGGAGACTGTGAAATCGACAGAGGAATATCTTTCAGCATGTTCGGAATCAGCGTCCATTTTCTTGTCTCCTGATCAAAGAACTCTCCACACTTGAGCTCCTTGTGTTTCTCATCCAGTCCTCCAATCACATAGAACCTGTTGTCCATGCAACAACCAGAGCAGAGTTTCCTCCTTCGGATCATATTAGGGAGGCGTTCCCAGGACTTGGTCTCTGCATTGTATTTCTCTGCAGAATTCAGGACTGTCTTACAGGTCTCTGTTTCAAGACCGCCTGCTATGAAAGCAAAGTTGCCACAGGTGGCCGAGGCAAAAAGACACCTTGGGGTGATCATGAAAGGACCCTTGAACCACTGGTTTGCTGCTAACTCGTATCGCCAGACAACAGCTCCGTCGATTTCCTTCCCAGAAACGAAAAGATGGGTCCCTGCAGAAAATGACTCTTTGTCTCCGTACTCGAAATTGTAATCTGATGGAATGACAGGGAGCTTCCTGCGGGACTCGAAATTCTTGTCAAAGGTCCACCAGTTGGTGTCTCCACTCGCCAGCATGAACACCGATGGCTCTTTGAATCCTATCCGTTTCCTCATCTTGAAGATTTCACCACCTTTAATCAGACTCAAGAACCTCTTGCTTAGACAGCACAATTTCCAGTACTCTGCTCTTGGAAATCTGGCAAAGACCACGTTTTCTAGCTCGTCGCTAAGGCTCGGAACGTTGTCATAATCTGCATCCTGAGGCAATTCATCACTGGAACCCTTGCCATTGTTCTCAGGAACCTTCATTTTCTTTGATGGGAGACTGTGGGAACTCACCAAAACGCTGCTATCAGTAATTCAGTACTTCGGACAGGTACTGCTATTGTATTGCACTATTTCCACTTAACAAACCTTTTCACCTTCTAGCTTTGTGCCTGTAAATAGGGGAAGGGGAAAAAAAAAAGAAGTCAAGGGATAAGCATCAATCATACTAGCTTGCACTTAGAGAATACAACTGACTGATGTGGTAGACTGGAACATGAAAATAAAAACGAAAACCAAACCCATCAGAGTTTGAGCAGTGCTATTCCACACAATTAGAAGTTGAGGAGGACGGAAATTGAGTTTCCCCATGATATTAGACATTAAATGTTGTATAATCAAATTCAAAAAATAAAAATAAAAAAGAAAAAGTTGTGAATATTAACCTCGAGAACAAATACAAACAGTAGAATTTAGAACGTTATCTTCTACTGGACCTAGTTTCGGCTATCGAGATGGCTGGAACTGAATCTCAACTATCATAATTCCAAACAGATGGTTCCCCAGAAGAACATGCACCGGAAAAAGCAACAAACTTTACATGCTGGGCGGATTACCCTTCAGTGATTAATAACACAATCGGGCACACTCACGGAAGAAACAGAAGAGTCTAGAGACTATAAATTTGATTCAAAGGGGAAGAGAAGATGGTGAAGCTTTGATACATGCTCTCTCAGAATCTCAGAGCCAGAAGAATCAATCAACAATCAGTGGAGAGAAATAAAAGAGCACGTTACAGAATCATCATCAACTCTTACAAAAAGGAGCCGTTTGGCGAGGGTGCTCCTCTCTCCCTCTGCTCCTCGCAGCAGAGACATGCGAACCTTAGGCTACAAGGAGAGAGAGAGAGTAAAGGAGAAGAACAAGAGGAGCCAGGGGAAAAAAAAAAAAAATGCTATGAGGCCATTGAAGCACAGAAAAGAGAGAGAGAGAGAGGGTACATGAATACACCCACTATTTGCTGGAAAATGGTGCTTTGTTTAGTATGTGGATGGTTTTGTCCTTCGGAATTAAAATAGAGAGAGAGAGAGAGAGAGTGAGGAATTATTTAAGTGAGGATCATGATCAACCACACCACCACAAGCATTATTTTCTTTAATTACCCCTTTCAGAAAAAGGCAGCAAGAGGTTTGCAGTTTAGAGAACCGTGTTTTGCAGTGGCTGAGCTTCCCATGTTGCTTCAGAAGTCCGATGTGCGAAAAGAAAGAAAGAAATGGGGGCAATCGAACTCCCTGTTCCTTTGCTTTCTCTTTCTTCATTTATTTATACTAATTGCTCACTTACTCCCTCGTTTCAACAGTCAAATTCAATTTTAATTTGACATGCCACATCATGTAAATTCAGTGCCCCGTTTACCAATTAAGGAGCTAGTGTTATGCTTATCACTCCACCGTCTCACCATTTTTTGCCCTTCATTTTCCTTCCGTTTGCCATTTGATCAACTAATTAAGGAACCCATCAGCCAGTAGTCTAAACAAGAAAATTGAATTGAATTACATTTAATACTGTCCTACGGCAGAAAAATCAGAAACTGAATCCAAAACTAAAGTTACAATAGTAGGATTTTTAAAAGACTCTTTAACACAGCTGTCCGATAACTTATCATGTTTACCATTCCTTTTCTTAAATTCACTTGAAACACACTGCTAATATTGTGTCAAGAATTTTGAATACTAACCAAAAACATGAAAAAGTAAACAGAGAATGGCAGAGCAGAACTATGATAGATCAAGGCATTAACAAGTGAAGTCCCTTAAGCCAAGACTTAAACAGACCATTCACAATGTATTTCAGAAAATAAGAAAAGACTCAATAAAGTATATTGATTTATATATTATCTATCATCAAATCATGTAAATTGTCTAGGTTTCAGAACAATATCATTTTATTTAATGACTTAGTTAAGTTCAACAATAGACTGTGAATTAAAATGAATAACTAAAATCTTATTGGCACAATTAAAATAAAAGTAGATAGACCTGATGAAAGGATTACTCTTTTGTTCTTATTTATAAGTCAACTTTTAATTTTAATAGGTTTCACCAAAATTAAGAAAAACCTTAAAACTCATTAACCTTGTTTAAAAATTTAATAAATTCTCAACTTTATCCTTATTAAATATATATACTTTAACAATATATTTTTTCTATCCAACATTTGATGAAAGTTAAAAAAAAAATTTATAATAAAAATTTATTGATATGACTTATAAGTAAGATTAAAAAAACTTTTTTTTTTATCTTATAAATAAAATCGAGTAAGTTGTTGAGGTGACACAAGGAACCTAAAAGGTAAAGGATTCTTCAATCACATTCTCAAGATTATGCACTTGAATGGGGAAGGGCCACAATAGCCGTGCTTGCTGACGAAGTTTTTGGAATCTCAAAAAACCTTGTCATGGACCACTAGTCTCGTTTTATAGTGGCATCTTCCCCATATATATATATATATATATGTATGTATATATTTATTTGTATGTATATTTAAAACAAAAAACAAAAAAATTGTGCTCCTATTCATTTCATTGTTAAATTAACACTTAAACTTTTAGCAGAAGGAATTTAATCTTCAAGGGGAAAAATATGCCATATCACAATTAGTGGACCCAGATAGTGTATTCTTTGTTCTTTTCTTTTGGAAATGGAGTCACCAGATAGATACCCTTGCTCATTACAATCACTGGTTTATTATAATATCAGTATAGTGTAATTGCTTTTTCACAGTGTAGCAGCAGAAACACAGCCATCAAACGGCAAACAAACAATTCATTAATTAATGCAGACGAATATGAATTTGGATCGTGGTGAAATGTTAACACACAAGGGTATAATACCCTCCTTTCTAAAGGAATAACCTATATATCTTATTTTTTGTTCTGGAGGCTTTTAATGTTTATGCTTCGGTGTCTTGACGAAGATCTGTCGTGGAATGCACAAGCTTTCTTTTATTAAAGCTGCTTCATTGTAATTCTAACCCCTCTTTCTCTTAACTCTAAAAACACTACATATATTTTCACTTTGTGCCCCAATGGCATACTTACACACTGAACATTTAAATAAATATACATGTAAAGCAGAAAGGGATGTAAGCGGCTTTACCTTTTTCAGATGCAGTTGCCATATTTATTCCAATCCCTTTTGTTTATGCAAATAAATGCATTAATTAATATATATTCAGAAAGACGTTGAAAAAGATTTAAACATCACTCCCTCTTCGCGTATAAATTCACGAATGATGTAATTTTCCAGTTACAAGTCCAAAACAATTCTTGAGAAAAGAAAACATAAGGGAGAACAAGTAATTTAATCAATTAACTGGCTCAGTCCTATATTTATGTTATATTATGTCATATATATATATATATATATTCAGTCCTTTCTAATCAAGATTAATAATTCATTATAGGTTTAATTAATTTAATGACCACGAATTGGAAAGAAAGATGCCATGTCTTAACCCTACTAAGTGGGAGTCGATTGTCATGATTAAAAAGGTAATCTTTTTATAATATTCTTCAGTTTACCCTAAGCAATTTCTTTAAATCTCTAGGTTTACATGTCGTGATCCCACAGAAACAGTTTGGTGGATTTTACTTTTCATTTTAATCAATAACCACATAGGGTTGGCACTTGTTCTACCTTGGAAAGCACTTTGATCCTCGAAGGAGTTGGGTGCACTATATATAAAGGTTAACCAGTTTATAGCCCACAGAAATTCAAAAGGAATAAGCTACGTATGTGTTGCACTGTATAATATATATATATATATATCAACTTTCCTTACCCATTCTTTTTCAAGCATACTATTGCTTTTGAGGATGATTCATTAGACTATATCTTTTGGAGATCACTGATCTAAATCGTCACCTTTTGGTCTGCAATATATGCACACCTTCGTGTGTTTCAGAAGATTAATTTTTTATATATTCGCTTCACGAATGGGGCTGGTACAGAGTCGTGATAAGACTTGTACAAGTTAATAGCACGTTTCTTCTTGCAGTGAATCCCATATGATATCTTTAATTCGTGAAGATAAAGGAGAGATGAGAATAGGTTAGATTCAACTGTGCTTCCTAGGATATATCGTCACTTACACATTTTTGTTTTCCCTGTGATTGTTGAGGAATAATATAACCCCAGGTCGTATGTACTGTGTGCAGGTGGAAACTTTTGATGGGGTTCATGTGTCGGTGGAATTAGTGTAGGTATAGAGTGTGATGGGGATGGAGAATAATATGTATATTCTGATGAGTTGTTATTTTATATATCTGTGTTCTTTTCCTTTCTTATAATGCTTTCTGATAAAAACAAGTGCTATGTTTTGGTACCGTTTAACATTGATTATTATTAATAATTATATAAGCATAGTAAAATCAACTTAGTCTAGAGTCCCATTTGATAGTATGTGTAAAGGGTAGTGTTTAAAGTTTTATTTGGCTTGGTTGTGGGTATAAATAAAATTGGACCAAACCAATCAATTCAACAAAACCAATCTACTATTGGGATTTTAACACCCTAAAGCATATGAGCAAACCGTTTATAAGTGTGATCCGAAATTGTTTGAATTCTCTTCAACAACATGTTTGGTCTTGTAAGAGAGGGGGAAAAGAGGTAATCAATTCCCTCGTGTCTCTATTTTGTCCTATAAGATCATATAGCTCGTAGGGAATAATTGGGGTTCATTCAAGGCCTCCATAAGCCATCCATAATCTTTTATGGATAGAATTTTTCTTAAAGATATCTCCAAAACATAATTTTTAAAATTGAACGAAATCAAATGGTTTGATTAAAAGAAATGAATGTGTGCTTAACTAATCCAACATATGTGAGAAAATTGAAGGAGTAAAGAAGTGATGAGATATACAGAGAATAAGTACAATCTTGATGTTGGTGATATAACGAGTCCTACTAATCTAGTTAATGCATGAAAGAAGCAAGAAATTGATGAAAAAATCCTTGAGATTTAGGAATTGAAGGGCATTCAAGTCCCCATGCAATTATACTTATAATCATCTTTGGAGGACACTTTTTTCTATGAATATCTTCGAAAAATAATTTTTAAAATCAAACCAAATCAATCAATTTTATTAAAAAAAAAAGAGGAATTGTTGCTTGGTCTAGTAACAAAGAGATGGATCAAAATCAAAAGAATAAAGAATTGATAAGATCTATTAATAATCTATTAAAATAAGTGATGATTTGATGGATTATGTCGATCTACTTAATGCATGAAAGAAATGGAAAATGGATGGAACGAACTTCAAAATTTAGGAATTGAAGCACATTCAAGCCCCTTGAGCCATCCATAATTGTTTATGAAGGACACAATTCCAAAGATTTCTCTAAGAACATAATTTTTAAGATCAGACCAAATCAATTGGTTTGATTAGAAAATGATGAATCAGTGTTTGATCTAGTAAGGAAGAGATGGATCGAAAACAAAAGAGTAAATATTTGATCAGATCTATTAATAATTAGTTAAAACAAGCAGTGTTTTAATGGATTGTGCCGATCTACTTAATGCATGAAAGTAATGGAAAATGGATGGAATGAACTTAAAAATTTAGGAATTGGAACACATTCAAGCCCCTTAAGCCATCCATAATCATTTATAAAGGACAAGATTCCCAAGGATTTCTCTAAAAACATAATTTTCAAGATCAGACCAGACCAATTGGTTTGACTAAAAAATGATGAATCGGTACTTGATCTAGTAAGGAAGAGATGGATCAAAAACAAAAGAGTAAAGATTTGATTAGATCTATTAATAATTGGTTAAAAGAAATAGTGATCTGATGGATTATGCCGATCTACTTAATGCATGAAAGAAATAGAAAATGGATGGAACAAACTTCAGCATTTAGGAGTTGGAGTGCATTCAAGCCCCCTTAAGCCTTCCATGATCATTTGTGGAGGGCACAATTTCTAGGAATTTT